GAGAATTACCACTCAGCGAAGCATTCTATTAGAATGTCTACAAGCAGTTTTCTCAGAACGGAGGTAAGAAGCATCACACACAACTTCAAAATATAAGTAAGAATGCATTAAAGAGCAGAACATTTCTTTCTATGGTCTCTAAACTAACTATGTTTTAGGGATTTTTGTAAAACATTGTTTAGCTGGTCAAAAAAAACTCCATAGTTTTATGTAACCAAGATGCTCATATAAGCATGTCACTGAACCCTGTGTATACAAAATAAAAATAATTATTTGAAGCTCCAAAGAGTTGACCATATATTCCATAGTAGGTACCAAACTTGAAGGCCAATGATAAGTGGAAACATGCAATAAATACATTTGTTACTGTTGGAAGATGTACATGAACTGCCATAACATGTGAAACATACACCCACATAGCATATCTGTACTTCCGAATACGACCACTTCCTGTATTTGCCTGGAAAGTGGTGTCTGATGGAAGAATCACTGTCGCACACAACAGTAAGCCTTGGTCAGTGACAAAGAAAAATGGATCACTAACTGCTTATTGTGCCTAATTTACTCACATTTGGGAGAACGACAATGTTTTTGTCAAATCCAGAGTTATGAAGTTTTAAAGCATAAACTAACTTCATGGAACAGCGAAATCCAACAATCAATGAACTAATCAATAAATTCACCAAACATTTATGGAACCCAAAGGCACGTTACCATGTCACAAGGGCCCGCGAATCACGGACCAAATGAATTGAGTACACGTTTTCCAACTCGATTCATCCAAAATTAATTTTAATAAATTCTCCCACCCATACCCACGTTTTCTAATATCTTTCATGCATGCTACATGTTCAGTCAATCTCAAGGTTCTCCCCAAAATGTCAGAGACATTTTTGTGTCCATATAAAACAAAAGGTAAAATTACAATGTTTTTTTTCATATTTCTACAAAGCTGACAGGAAGACAAACCACTCTCGACCAAATGGAATTGAAAATGTACTTAATTTCCTCGTGAAAGAAATTCTGATATGTTGTCATCCTATCTATTATCAAGCATTCTGGTGATGAGACATGAACATACACTACTTTCTTCTTGCATTTACTTCTAAACCACACGGGCTTTTTATTAATGGGGGAAGAAATACTGTTAGGTTCTGTATGCAATCCTATTTAAGAATTTTCTGAAAGACAAATGATTTGAAGCATAAACTGGAAAGAGAGATTGAAAGAAAAAAAACGTTTAATTTAAATAATTAAAATGTCCTTTATAGTCCACAAAGGACTATTTTATTTTTCATAGATCTTTTAAAAATAAACACTGTATTGACACTGTGAAAGCAATACTTTAGCAAGTCTAATACACTGACTTTGTCGTTGGACGCATACCGAAGGATCATTGTTACGTAGGCCTTGATTCTGCTGTGACCTGCGCACCCAAACATTCTCCTTTGGTGGTGGAGCTGGCTCCATTTTTCGTGGAGTGGAAGGCTTCTCAGCTGGACCATCATCATCTCGGTCACCACATTCACTTCCACTCTTTGACCTGGAATAAGAGAAGACATAGCCTGTAAAAACAAACAATTACCTACTGTCCTTTCCTTAAAAAGGAAAAAGTAGGCCAGTGATAAGTGCTGTTCCCTGTTCAACTTCTGAACCAAATGACTGATTTTCATTCATCATGCCACAGGAGGCGACCTCATCTTCACACTTTTAAATGTCCTAAAATTGGTAAAACATGATAGCACTGCAGCAACACTACTGCCACTTTATGTAGAGTCCTGAAATGATGTATGGTTAAGAGATATTTGAAACATATGATACTTTTATTATGGTAAACATGATGTCTGCATGCAGTTCATATTTAGCTTTTGGTTAAACGGTGATAACTAATTAATCACTAGCGCTAAGCATGTGGATGTTGGTATACAGACAGAGATATAAAACATACCAAGTCATTTATGAAGTACCATTTATAAATCAACAATTACAAATATGGTGACAGACACAATCTGTACCTAAGTAACATGTCCCCCCCCAAAAAAGGACAGAAATTGATGACGACAACAATAATAAGCAACATATTTAAAACTGCAGGTGAAAGAAATTCAGGCTCGTCTAGGATTCAATTGTGTAACCATCTGCACATGAATGCAGCACGCTACCCCATAAATTAAACAGCATTACGTTCTTGCATTACAAATTCACATAGCTAAATGAAAAATTAAGATCAGAAGGTGTGAGGCATTTGAAGCCCTGCACATTAAAAAAGTGGGCTTCAGAAGTTCTGTCCCGAACAACATGTATAAATTATTCAAATGTTCTATTCTCTTACTTTATATTTGAAATGTTTCTCTTACAGGCTGTGAGTTATAACAGCTCAGGAGAGTAAAAGGCTAAAGGACGGACAACCAGATTTTTCTCCTCAACACAGTGTCCAAACTGGCCCTGGGGCCCACACAGTCTCCATTCAACAGATACTGACAGTTCTTTCCCAAGCAAATGCAGCAAAACATTAAAAATTCAGTCTTCATGTATGGCCCTACATTCAAACACACAAGAAGCTTCTTGTCTATCAGAAATCCCCAGGAATATTAACAGTTAAAATAAGATCTGAAAATTCAGTTCCTTCCTCGAATAAAACAACAAACTTCTATTACAAAGATAAATTGGTTAAGGCTGTCTAAGAAAATAAGAGAATCATATGACCTCTACAAATAAATATACTTTGTGCACAAACGGGGAGTTACCAACTGTTGAAGCAGGTGATACATACAGTTACCACTGGGCTTTAAAGCATTAATGGTTTCTAAAAGTATATATTCAGCATTCTAAAGATTATAGAAATGCAGGCACTTTTAGTGTTCAAATACACAACCAAAATGAATTGCGATCAGCACACATGCATGCATGTAACAAATGCGGAAACCTTTCTACTACAGTATCTGTAAAACTACATTGAAAAGTTGTGAAATGGCATTAAGTAACAAATCCCGATTACATGCCGACCATCAAAAAAATAGAAAAATGTACATACAAAAACAAACATTTGTTTAATATAAGGATTTAGACAATGAACTTTGTATATTCCAAAACAGCACAAATGTACTAGCTAAGATAATAGCTTGCACTGTGCAATTTCTTCATACAATGTACTTATGAGCCTTCCATCTTAGAACACTACAATGCAACAGACATGCGCTGGATAATCAGAGTTCGATATCCAGTACGGGCAACACCGTTCGCTCTTAGATACTGCACCCAGGCCGGCCCTGAAGCCCATACAACCTGGGGCTGCAGACTGAAGCTCACCACTCATTTCCATCTAGTGAGGTGAAGTATGAGTAGAGCTATACCTTCATAACACGGTGTTTATAAAGTATTTGAGACAACACAACTTTAATTCCTCACTCTGGCAATATTCAGAATGTAAGAAAAGTATCTGGTATGCATTCTCCACCTGTAATCTCACAAGTGCTTGTTATGTAGCATTTGAGGTTTTCATGGCTGTCTTTTGGGTAGCTGCACCACGCAGTTCGGTAGAAGTTAACTGAAATTTCAGCCTTGGTGATGGTGGCTATGAGGACCTCTTAAATGTCAGTAAACTTCTACCAGACCACATGGCGCAACATCCCAGATGACAGCCATCTTTAAGTGCTTGTTACTTCCCTACAATCTAATCTTTAAATTCCTACCTTATCATGATTCCCAATATTACTACTCAATGCACTAATATAAAAAAAAACCAATAGCTAAAATATAATGCATTCAAGACAAATGTTATTTATTAATTTACACCTCGACCATAAAAGACTTTCATCTTCACAGTACGGCAGCGATTTTGTCCAAATATGATACAGCTTTGGTATGCATGAGTGTTTTCAGTCACATGCATAATATTTGTGATCAATAAAGGAGGGAACTATAAGATACAATTTTGGTGCTGCAGGAGAAAGTACAATGCGTGTTGCTGGATGTGAAGTTACTGAACAAAAACAGAAACATCCAGTCAGTCTGTGGGAAGAAATGCTCGAAACAAGAAGCTTATAGGTGGTACCAGAAGTTCTGAGATTAAGAAGTTTGTGACATGACATTCAACTAGCAGGCCAAACATGTCACAGAACAATTACTGCAGTTATCTTGGAACAGACAGATGAAAGTGTCAGGTACAACTACCTCAGTAACATTCTTTTCAATTGTAAAGACACTTTTTTCACAAAATAGATGTTGTGAACCACCAGAACTAGAATTTGGGGAATGAAAACCTGATTGCCATACCTGAGCATATTTGACACTACCCCAAAGTATAGGTGTAGTGCCATATCATGTCAAACGACATCAGCAGTCCATTTTTCTTTGAGAATAAAATGACCCCCAGACTTTACCTGTATATGTTAAAGACGTTTGTTTCCACAGACAGCAGAAATCAGTGGCCTCGCTTTCTAGTAAGGTGTACTTCCGCATTTTGGCAATACTATATAAAGACCTCTAGACATCCACCTTTATAAAGGATGGATTAGGTTCAATGCCAAATCTTAAAACCCTGCATACCGTGAAGCGTATTGTAATATAATACACAAACTCTTGCGCAATTAACGTCCAGTGTGGTATTACATAAAGTATGGTTTTATAAAGTGAAACCTCTTATGCTTTATAACAAACCATCATCTTATGAATTGTAGGATTTAATATGAATTAATTTGTTTGCCACTGATGATGACCTCTTGAGGTCAAAACGCATTTGGCACCAAGTGTCTTTTCAAGTGCAAACAGTTTTGTTTGTATGCATGATTTTAAAAGAGATATCCAATGACAAAGTCAAAGAAAAGCCCTAATTTATGTTCACATATACTTCTTCTCACACAGTTATGTCCATGATGCCACATACGTTTAAACAACAAACGATGCTGAAGACTTGACACAAAGAAGTATGACAATTGGTGCTGTGTCACCTGTTGATACTCGTGCAGGTTTGGAAAGAAATGGAATATTGCTTTGACATATGCAAAGATGCCAAAGGTCATTATATTGAGTTTACTACATTTCTTTAAACTTTCATATACCTACTGCTGCACTGTGAGAAGATAAACCTTTTAAGTCAACAGTGTACACAAACACAAGATTAATAACTGAAACTATGACATACTTTCTGTGACAATACACATCCTAAGCTGAGGAGAAAAACTAGAAAATGCAGAAAACAAGAAGAATGGTGCTGCAAGCCAAACAGGATAAATATGCAAGTGGAACTCAATGCAAAAAGTGTTGAGACAAATATTCAGCTGCGGCAACACAAACAATGCAAACAGTTCTCATCTTTGTCAGATATGACAACCCACCTCTCATGCGAGTGTGTGGATGTGGGAGGACCACGCAACTGACAGTTGGGCCTGCTGGCACGCTCCTCCCGCCTGTTTTAGGGACACAACAGCACAACGTACAGTTAGAGTTGTGGCTTCATTAATAAAGTTCACTTTTTATTTATTTTAAAGTATGGTATTTCATATCCACTTCTGCATGCAAAACTTGCATAACCATCACCAGGACAGTCATATACTGCCATTTACATGATCACTCACATCTGTATGAAGAACAGGAAAGCTAAAATGTAACAGTCAGGACTTAGCATGGACTTACACAACCTGAGATAAAAATGTTTGGGGCATTTAACCTTCATCAGTTGTGCATTACAACTTACGTGTGATCCAGCTAGCCAAATAATGTAGTAGCAGAGAGCTAGCATTAAACCATCCAAGAGTTAAAAACTAGCTGGCATCCCTGTAGTGTTTTTATTATTAGTGTTCTGTCTGACGACAGGTCCATATGAACAGGATCCTTCCATCCTTTTCTCGGACTGGGACCTGTTCATATACGTTCTTGGCAGATGATCCAGAAGTGTTTTGCCATTGCCTTCTTCTGTGTGTGTGAATGGAGTAATTGTTGGGATGCCATGGAGGAAAACTCCGTGTTGCCTAGACCACGGCCTTGCCCAACACAAGTTATAAATTCGGGCACCGCCGGGAATCGAACCCGAGACCCCAGGATTACAAGGCCAGCGTTCTAACCGCTAGACTACCGTGGCTAGCCCTGTAGTACAGGCATTTATATCACTTATTGTCATACCAGATTAATCCCTTAGTGGTTAAAATTCATTGGCACCTGGGTATCTAGGGGTTATGCTCCAGACTTCTGTGTTAACAGTCCGAGTATAAGACTGTAGGTATCAAGTGCAGCTATTTTTCTGAATGTCTTCCCCTTCCCTCACCTCTGACATATATACAAATTTTTAAATGTGACAAAAAGTAGCCACAAACTGCCATATGGTTCAGACCCCACATTAAGCTGTAGGACTCCCCAGCTGGAAAACACCATCATTTTATTGTCAAAAGTAGCCCACTTTGTACGATAGGTGTCCTCACCTTCAAAACACACTCCTCTGTCATTATCAAAGTGGGTAGAGGGTGGGACAGTTGTTCAGATTATAAACAGAGGTGTGGGCGACAACATTTCACAAAAAACAATTAACATTTTGGGGAAATATAAGTCAATACATTTACTTGTGCCATAACTTATATTCAAAGAACATCAAGAAACAAACGTCACAACTGAGTCGCCTGAATTGTGTTATACAAAGGTCTTGCTGTAATGTAATGTAGTATATCAAATTTCAATCTCTATTTTGGAATATTCACAATTCAACAAGAAACCATAAAGATAGACCTGCAAGAACAAAAATGATTTTGCGGAACCGCTCCATACCTGTTGTCTTCGGTTCGCGTATCTCTGGGAGGAGGCCGTGAGATTTCTCCTTTCTCCTTTTCCTTCTCAAGTCTCTCCTCTATCTCCTTCTCTCGTGCTGCTGTGTCAACAGGTTTTGCACCTCCAAAGATGGAGGCCTGCGACGCCTGTGTGGCAGCAGGTTCTTCAGGTTTACTGCGAGGCTGTAAAACGAGCCGTGGCCGACTCCTAGGCTCTGCTTAAACCCAAAATGCACAGTGCTTGGTAATCTTGTTGGTGGTAACCAAAATTTTTCTTAATTGCTGATACCAAACTACAACACCACATAGCATGCATCATGATGCAGAAAAACATGATCCAAATCTTCACTGCCATTAAAATCTCAAACCATATATAGTAAATATATACATCTACATGTTAGGTTAGTCTGAAAAACACATTTAACTTGAAAAATACTGTGATTAATCTAAATAGCATGCAAACCTGGAAGAATAAAAATGAATACTTCCTGGAAGACATTGAGCAAACATTACATTGTACTACAATATAGGAGCGTATGAAAAGAAGCCAATGGGATAGAGAGAAATTACATAACTCATAAGAAACCACATTCACATTAAAAAAGTTAAGTGCCATTTGAAAAAGACATACGATTTTAAAAGCTTAGTGAAACTTTCAATGACTACAATCAGTGTTTCTTTAATCATGCTCAACACAGAAACTTCAATTCCGGTCTTTAATCTTCAGCCATGAACACAATAAGAAATAATCACAAATTCAAATGCGTTAAGTACGGTGATCAAGCCATCCGATTCCAAATCAATCAGGATGCTGATTACAGATGATGGGATGAAATGTTTTTCTTTTTCATTTTCATTTTCTCAAAGAAGATACAGGTACTGTATAGCTTTCCGTTATCAAGGAAGACTAGTCTGAAAATTCTGGCACTACACTGTGTGGGGGATTTCAGAGCTCTATACATATAGATACAAGTGCACTTCATCAGTGAAAAAGATGTGGGAAATAACTGTTGGACTGTCTTATAAATATTAACAAACTGAAATGAAAAAAGTCTATTAGTTCCTTTTTGTCAACATCGGTGTCTGGCTGTTGCATATAAATATTGCATACAAACATTTATAAGTAATGTTAAAAAATGAATAAATTTCAAAAACAGTTGTTGGAAGAGCCACTGACACATTTTCAGTCAATATGTGTAAATACTTCCAGCACAAGTGCAACGTTATCTGGCATTATCAGAGACGTACGGTGATTCCATGAAGCCTTTAGCACTGCCATGCTATCAATCAGGTATATAATCTCTTATTCTATATTAAAGGTGTTCTTTTATTGTACCCATTCATTCCAGTATGTCGGTACTGTATTCTTATAGCATTGCAAACAGCACATGACATGAAAATCAAATGTGAAGAAAGACTGATATTCAAGACCTGTATTTACACAAGTAAAACCATAAAATAATTACAGAAGAAAATTAAGGGAATTTTAAACTGCACGCTACAATAAATTATCATTACCAGACATTTCTTCACTTCAACCGTCTTTCTTTTCAAATAAGCTAAATACTACAATTTTATCAGGAGAAACAAATTGAGTACCTCTTTCTGGAGGAGGTCCATCATCTCTGCCTCTAAATCCACTGCCACCCTCCTTCTCGTAATCAGATCCAGCTCCGTATGTCTTGCGTGAACCAAAACCACTCCTGCCACCAAAATCCCTATCTCGATCGCCACCACGTCGACTGGAAAACCTATCCCTGTCTCCATAGCCATCCCTGTCTCCTCCGAATCTTCCACGATCCCCAAAGCCATCGCGGTTATCATAACCACGATCCTTATCGCCATAACTCTCTCTGAATCCACCACTGCCAAAATCACGGCGACCTGGCCCTCTTCGATCATAACCACCTGCGATACATTATTTAAATTACTTACTACAGCAGGAACACTATCTTATAAACATATCACAATAACACACATAACTGCATTATTGCTTCAGCATATACCAAGTATATAACAGCAAATTCTGTGAAACACCAAATAATGAAAAATAAAAATTATGAATATGTGAAAAATTGCACAAATTATTATACAACATAACATGAAATATTTTGAATATAATGGATAACTGCAATTATATGATACTTTTTCACAACACCTTCGTTTAAGAGGAACAGAACTGGAATATATAAATGATGTACTTCAGAAAGTGAAGGTAAATATCCACCATCTTCACATCTGTACGTAATATCAGATTAATTTTATTTATTTGGTGTTCTGTCTGACGACAGGTCCATATGAACAGGATCCTTCCATCCTTTTCTCGGACTGGGACCTGTTCATATACGTTCTTGGCAGATGATCCAGAAGTGTTTTGCCATTGCCTTCTTCTGTGTGTGAATGGAGTAATTGTTGGGATGCCACGGAGGAAAACTCCGTGTTGCCTAGACCACGGCCTTGCCCAACACAAGTTATAAATTTGGGCACATGGTGCCATATTTGATTTCAGTCTTGGCATGAATTCAACACATGCAGGCATCAACTCTTAACAATCATAAATTTCAATAATTTCTTAATATCATTTATATAAATCTTTTACAAGGGCTATATACACAATATAATTTTACATTTTTACCAAGGATACATGTGTTTCATTGCCAAATCTGCATGCAAAGATTACAGCAATGTAAAATACTGGCATTCTGATAAGAAGCAGTACAAGCAGATAAGTTATTTGTGTGTACAACACACTGATGTCAGGCATCCTTGAAATCCATGCTCCCATAATTGAAATGCAGGATTCGGAAAATGCCACGATTTAATATGGCACATTTTTTCGAGTAAACAGTACATAGAGACTACTGCAACCTGAACAATGTGCGCACATTTCAAAGGCTACTCCAGAATAAATCATACTAAAAACTATTAACACTGATCCTGTTGCGTGGAATTGTGCTGAGTTGCCAGTGCTTCACAGAAATATACCGATGCCATCATCATGGCTGCAGTGTGCGTGGAAGGAGATGGACTAGATGGCTACAGAGAGACTGGTCAATCACAACAACTATGGGATGAGGGAAGGTGGAGCTCTGTCCAGGATAACAGGAAAAAGCTCTTTTCAGTGCACCAGAAGGATGGTTCAGACTGGAGGATAAATACAGAAAATACTTCCCTTTCTGGGGAGCAAACAGCAATATTAAGGACAAGCAGCATGGTATGTGGCAGTGAGACCATGCATGGTCAGGACGGTGGCAATAATAATAATAATAATTAAAATACTTTATGCATTAATCAAACAAGCTTCAGACACAATATTATCTACAATAGGAAAGTCAAATTCTGAAAGCTCTCAATGTTAAGTGTATATGAACACAACTGCTTTCTGCTTACCATCTCTCTCCCTTGCACTACCACCTCTGTCACTGTCAGGATCAGCCACCGGTTCTTCCCTTGGTCGCGAACGCCAATCACCCAACGTTCTATCTGGTCCATCTGGTCGATCTCGGTTCATGTCACCTCTATCACGACCACCTCGACCTCTCCGATCACTGTCACTGTTTTCTGCTACTTCTATGCGCATACGTCTACTCTTCACTGTCTGGGTAAAACCAAAATGTAAACTTCATGTTTAAACTTGGATGAAAATCTGGTACGGATGTCATGAAAACGGAGGCTACCTTATACTTGTACTATCAATTTCCTACAATCGATAATACCAACACAGAAGACAAAGAAACTTGTGAAGTGTGGATGGCACTAGTGCCACTTAATATGAGGGATATTGGTAATACATCTTGAGAAATAAACAACTCTGGTATGTAGTAGTAGTAGTAGTTCCTGTAACTCCTAAGTGGAGCATAGGGCCTCCTTTCGGAGGTTTCTTAGTCTTTCAAGCATGCATTTAAGAGTAGTGAGTGACCAGCCCAATGACTCTGCACAACTTCTACTTACTCCTGATTTGGCTGCCAGAGCCATCTAGCAGTGAAGCAGTGAATCAGGAGAGACTTGTGATATTCTAAAAGGTTTATACCAGCACAAAATGATCTAGTCTACGACGCACTTCTTCTATAAGTGATTCACAGCTCAGCTCTTTCCGCAATAACGAAAAAGCGGAATGTTGACGGCAGTAATGTAACACAACAATGCCGAGTAAACAGATGACGTAATAATTAGTTTCTTAGGTAACATAACCATTGTTGTTGGTCAATATTTACAAATTGTTGATATGGATCTTACACATCTTCGTTACACTTTTTTGCTGAATGACCCTACCGTATAGACGTATTTACGTCAAAAAATGTGTCAGAAAAGAAACAGAATGTTCAAAAAGAACATTCATGAATTTCAGTGATGATACGAGTGATACCTGTGGAAGTATTGTCAACTGGATTGCAGTTTGTTTCATGCATAAGACAAATATGCAAGAGTTAAATAACTCATATGGTCAAAAGATATACTCATCTGAACAGGATTAAAGGGCTCAGTAAAAGACAAATTCTTGCTGAAAACAATAACACTACCACAGGAGAGAAGCCCAATTAGTGGAGTCAGGCACCTTAGAGGTCTTTGAGGCCATGTCAATCTTAACAAATACATACAAATCATCAAGTTACTTCTATTCAGGTTGAGGAGTGAAGAAAGTAGCGCCAGTGTATCATTCAGTTACCGTGAAGATATCATTTTTTTATATTCCAGGTGACTTGGTGAGTGTGTATACAATAATTTCTGGCACCAAGGGTTAACTTTTGGAGGAAAGGGCTTGGTGGTGGAAACTACAAAGACCTCACAAATATATTAAACCCAGAACATCCAAATAATGTCTAGTGTAGGCGATTACAACCTACGGTTTGCATCTAGCTGACAGCAGCTATCCCCCTCTTTGCTCACAGTAATTTGGAGGGCGAAGTTCTTGGCATACACCAACATTAGGATCAAACTCAAGGAAATAAGTCATGAAGATTGAAGGTAACTAACCTGAGATCATGTGTAACAGTAGACGTTGGTATCAGCTACCAGGGTTACAAAGAACAGCCTAAATGGTATTAGCAGTTTAGAACCTTCATTTTCTATTACTAAGAGTTATGTGGAAGAAATAATCTAAATGTTAGAAGAAAACTGCAGGTCAGTTCTCGACAATACATTATAAAATTACAAAAGACAGATGCCCAGAACACAAAGATGTAAAATCTGGGTACAAAATTATATTAAACAGCAGAAACTATTTATAATATGGCAGTGACAAACATTAGGCATGTGTAATTAGTAGCTTTATAAATGCAACACTACTATATGAAACACTTCTCTCACGTTTCTCTTACAAAACTGGCCACAAATTTAAATGTTTACAGAAACACTTCTCTCACGTTTCTCTTACAAAAGAAATCTAAAGCTCCATATAAAACTGCCCACAAATTTTAATGTTTACAGATTTACATACTGTGTCAACCATTGTGAGGGCACTGATAAGGCTGCTGCGGCTTCCAAACTCAACATAGCCAAAACCCTTTGGCTTGCGTTCATCTCGAGGGAGGCGAATATTTGTAACCTGTAAACGTAAAAATACTGACTTAAATTTTCAATCTAATGCACACAACTTTATCTATCATAGGTGATGTTGACACATCAATAACTTTACCTCTAAATTCCTAAAGAAGTTTGAGATGTCACTTTCTTCTACATCATATGACAAGTTGGAAATATATGCCAAAAATGGCGGAACTTTCGGGACTTTCTCATCATCTAGATCAGGGCTCCGTGTGGCTCTTGGAGCTGTTGGCAGAATGACCTTCTCCTTGCGACCCATATCAAAATATTCTGGACATAAACAACAACAAAAAGTTAACAGTGGAACCATGGTCCCGGAGAATCTGACGTAAATATGTCTCTGTAATGTAATGAAATAATTCTTATAAGTACTTGTGATATTCTAAAACGTTTTTAACAGCACAATACCATCTACTCTACGACGCACTTCTACAGCCGATTCACAGCTCAGCCGAGTAAACAGATGACGTTTCCTAGGTAACATAACAATGCACGCAAGCTGACCATTGCTGTCGGTCCATATTTACACATTGTTGATATGGATCTAACACGTTTTCCTTTCACTTTTTTGCCAAATGACCCTTCTGTATAGACGTATTTACGTCATAAAATATATATAAATAATACAATGAATACAACTCCCACTTCATCTTAGGGACTTACAGAGTTTTAAATCTCTATCTACCATGACATGCTCTATTTTATTCCCCAGTTTCTCCAGCAATTACAGGTCGCAGTGCCTTACAATAGATCACTGCTGCCTTCTCCAACACGTTCCCCAACCCAACCATTACTACTCTAAAAAATCCGATAAAATAAAATCCTGGTCAAGAAAAACAATTTAGTCGACTTTATGAGAGAAAATTCATGCTATACAAAGTAATTTATCTGAAATTTACTGTAACAAATGATTTCTCCAGCCTGAAAACAAATTGTGGTGATTGTAGAGCTCTTCGAGGGGGTAGCACAGTTTACATATGCCTCAGACAAAGTCAAAATGCTTCCTACATTAACTCTGCTTCTCCATATACATCATTTCCTGATAATAATCTAATAATTTTTCTGGTATCTCTCATCAAAATACCTTCTTCTCAAAGACGGCTGAGATCAATACTATATTGGAAACACGTTATGTAAGAAAGGTAATAACGCTTACCATCTTCATTCTCAACATCATCAGCCCAATTTGATGACTTCCGTGTAACCACTGTCTGACTAGCACCTGGACCTGATGCACCATCAGCTAAGAATTCTGTCAAACCCAGGGTTTTGCCCTTCATTTTTTTGCTCTTTTTACCTAAACATAAAAAACATCCTAATTATATTAGAGACTTTAAAGATAACTGATACAGGTAGGTAGCATTATTTGAGATTTTTTACACGGCCCCCTTCACAGCTACTGTGTGAACCCTACAATAATCTGCACAATTACTCTAAGTGCCATACAATATCTAATAATATACGGCCACGAGGTGACTCATGATATGAACGCTCCAGGTGGCACATAAATGTTCATATTTATTCCTATTTCCCAGCTCAAAAACACATTGCTGACTTTAGAAACAATAAGCATATATCTCTAAAACAATTAACAACTACAAAATGTCCATGATTATTAGACAATATACGCAATTCTATTCACGTGACAAACAGGCACACCACTAACCAGACGAAGCCATCTTGAAAGATCTCTTGCAGGGTCGACAACATTATATGTGATCCCACAAAAGATAAATTTGTGTTGAATAATTCCGACTTCGTCCGAGTTTAAACAAATGAGAACATTTACTTTAAAAATAAAACTTTAGTAAAAATAAATACATACTCATCAATAATTTTGTCTATAGAAGTTGTACAAGTTATCAAAATACAGAGAAGAAAAGGACGCATGCCGTTGGCTACATTGCAATACATATAACAATAATTTTAATAAGTTGAATAGAAAACATGATACAAGCGGAAGGCAAACAGTAGGCGGGGTTCGGCGGGTGCGCAAAATTGATTTCGTTGTAAGGTAGTATTATTCTGGTCCATTTCCCAACGCATTAAAAATGGTAAATATCTCCTTTGAAGAATTAAAGCTTGCCATCGCATAATTGACGCTCTAACATGTTTCTCAGAATATAGCATCTTCAAATTTGAGAATTTCATTACATTGTAAAAATTGGAATATGCTTGTACGGTTTTAAGATTTTTATTTATATTTCAGTGTGATCTGGGATTAAATGAACATCACCAAATGATTGTTATGAATTACATTAAATTTTCAAGATATCAGCGTATTCAGAACTTGAAGGCAATTGAATATGCTTTCAAAGATGTTACGGAATCAAGGTATTGTACCTTTCTTGGGTGAATATAATTTCAACTGCAGGTCACATACACTTCGCATAAATACACTTGATCTGGATGCATGATGTAGTTTCACATCTTAATGCATTCCAAAATATTCTCAAAAAATTTTGAATAAGTTTCCCCACCAAGACAGTTTAAAGGATATCTGAAAATGAGTGGATTACTAAAGGCATCAAAACATCTTGCAAACATAAACAAGATTGTCAGTCTAATCATCTGGCTCTACAACCCAGTGTGGGTCTTGGCTGCCTCCTTTTTTTTTTTTTACTTAATCCTTTATACATTTGGTAGGATTCCTTAGATGAGTAATCAGCCCATCACAAGGCCTATACCTGTGCATAGAACAGCACAGCACACAAAGACATGGACAAAACACCCATGCCTTGAATTGGATTTGAACCTACAGTCCCAAGTGCACAAGGCCCACGCCTCAGACCCCACAGTCATGACTAACACTTGTTTCTAAAACATTACAAAACCATGACCAATTTACAGATTGCTGCCCCATGCATAAACTGTGATGCACTACTTATAAAGATAAAAGAATATGCTGACATGAACTATATTACCCAAAGCACGCGTCCTGTGACGTTGGCACTAATGAAATCTTCACAGGCCTGAGTGTTACATGTTTTGTCCACTTTAGGTGTATAGTAATAACTGTGTTTTCAGATTATTGGAAGATACATACACAAGTGATGAAGTTCAAGAATTATTACTTGGTTTGTCCAAAGTAGTTCGAGCTGACACTGAAACAGAACTCATCAGTTCCACTCATATGACTGTACTGTTACTCAAACAGTTGTTTCAGCAAGCAGAGAAATGGCACCTTAGGCTGCAAGCTGATCTTTCAGAGCTTGAAAACAGGTACTGTTCCTTACTCAGGAGAAAATCTTTGATCTTGGCAGTACAGACCCATGCATAAGTCTTATAGCAGTAAATCTGCAGCTAGAAGTTTGTTAGTTGAAATGTATTTGTTAAACGCTATATTATGCAGAGTTAAATCCTTTATTCTTGACAAGGTCTTATGTTCCCACAGTAACATTTATCCAACACCAGAGCTTTTCTCTGGAGAAGACAATAAGTTGTAAAAAAACTAACAACTATTTCATGTTTCAGTGTATATGTAAAACACAAATTTGTGTGTGGAAGTATCCATATTTACTTAATAAAAGACATACATAGGTGATATTATTATTCCTAATGACATATTCCTTAGCATCAGTGGATTTTTTCATTTCTCAGAATTGGAAAGTATTGTTTCATCAAAGCTTCCTCTCGAATGTTGTTATTTTGTTGAACATGTCATTGACAAAGTGCTTTACTTCTTGTAGGTTGATGCTCAGTTCATTCATGTGTTGAGTGATGTCAGTGCAAGATGGAAAGCTGCACATTCATTCCCGATTGCAAAACTGAGGATAAGGTCCCAACTTCATATCCAGAACTAATTTAATTTCTCTTTTCAACTAATACATATGTTTAAGCACCTCACCACAATTCAGTAATTTTTCTTGTTCTGGAGAAAATCTCTGTAATCAGTTTTCGTATCACTCCAGAAATACTTTAAATGGCGGCGATTCCTAATGACTGAATGAAATAATGAATTTTGAAACCACTCTGATATTTTCATGGTGTATCAAGCAATAGCATATTGTCATATCATGACCTGTTGTATTCTTTACATCAACAGACATGTTAGTGTTCCTTCCAGACAGTCTTGATGTTCCATCTGTCACTAGTCCTGCAAGGTTCTGTTCTGTTAGCCATGCTTTGCAGCACTTTTACTGGCCACAAGAGAGGAAGCCTTCAGGGCAAAGCACTAGCCTGAAAATGGGCATTCTTGAGGGCCAAACCACTGCAAGCAAGCATGAAGTGAAAGCCCAAGGGAAAGGGCAATCTGGGAGGAAGGGGAAAGCCCTGTGGATGAAGCCCAAAAGGATTCAGTCCGGTGCCATTTTGTCAGGATATATTATTTTTCTGGACAATTCCTGAAGAATGTATGACAGACACAAATATGTAGTTCTCTCAGTAGTTCATCACAAATCATGTTTTTAATTTTACAGAGAACAATTGGAGGTCATTAAAACACTAGAGAACAGTGCATTTTCAAGTATTAAACCAGATAAAAATCCATCACCGACTAAAATTAAACTTCTACCAATGAATGAATCATCTGGGTCTGTCTGTCTACTTCATATGGAAATTGAACGACTGAAGGAAGAAAATGAAAAGCTTTCCGAGTCCGTCAAGGAAACTGAAACCAAGGTAAACTATCGTCTCCTTATGCAGATTTCTTTGACTGAGGTACTACATTCAAAGTGAATGCTGCTGAAACTCAAAACTCACTAAATATTTTCCCAAAAATAATTGTAACACCAGACATAGCATTCAGATTGGTTTCTGTGGGTTAAAAACCAGGAAATGCTCAAAATAAAACCTCATTTTTTTAATTTATCACTCATTCTGATCTGTCATCTACTGTAGTTCTGCTTGTCCACAACTTGTATTTGTATACTTTTAAAGCAGGACTGTTTCACAGTGAGAAGGGGGGATCCCTCAATCCGGAGCCCCCCATAAAATTTTAAAAATATTGTGAAATGTGCCATTTTAACACAATTTTTAGTGACATGGAGAGATCAAAATTGATTGAAAGCATTTTCAGGCCATATTGTTTACAAATCTTATTAAAGTAAACTAATTTAGAAAAAATGACATTTCATGTAGGTAGAATACGTAAGTAGCAACAGAAATTACAAACTGCAATAGTAAAAGTAAAGTTTGTCCCACTATACGCCATGTAGGCGTTTGGGGTGAGCAGAGGTATAGCTCCTCTCTTCCTTGACCTCGGCACTAGATGGGGGTGAATGGTCAGCATCACGCCCCGGCCGGCTTTACCCCGGGAAAGGACCCCGGTACCCATTGTAGAGGAGGCTGGGTAGGCCCCAGAGCCGGTCTGGACGCAGAGACTAGAGGAAAAATCCTCTGCCCCCGTCGGGGATCGAACCCCGGTCGTCCAACCCGTAGCTAGTCACTATACTGACTGAGCTATCCCGGCTCATACAAACTGCAATAGTGGTACAAACAATTTAAGTATACATTAAAAAATTACCAGAATAATAATTTTTACTCTCATTGAGATTTTTGGTGCTGCACCATGAAGTACAAGTATTTTAAAGTCTCTAGTGTTACTTCCTTCACATGAACATTTTTTATCTTAGCTGGTGAAGCAACATCGTAAAGTTAGGGTTAAAGACAATAAAACTATTTTTGAAAAGAACGCTAAATTGTCTATGAATGATGAATAACAGCAGACATTAACTGGGCAACCATACACACTGCTAATGGATACAACGAACAATGGCAGACCAATAGCAAGCTGCGTTGAGAAGATGTAGCACATTCAGTTTCAATGTTAGGGTGACAAAAGCAGAACAAGTCAGCTGAGTTTACTGCACTGGCAAAGGATGAATGTATCTTTGCTGACATTGACTTGAAACGACTTTCGTTTTCACGTGAACATATGGTCACACATCAGATTCATCTTGTGTACCACTTTCGGCATGTTCCATATGTTAGCCATCCCTGTCTTAGACCAAGGAACAATTGTATATTCTGTAACGTGCTCATATATGGTAAGCTACAGTGACCATCCCTTGGTTCAGACTGATCTCCAATGGCATGATCCTTCTCCTAACTTTATACAAACACTTCACCCCTGAAGATGATGCAGTACATAAAAGAAAAAAATTGGTACCCTCCTACCAGTTCATATGGCATCACAATTCAGAGACCACCATTGACATCTTTAATGCCATGCGAACCAAAAACCCATATAGTGTGAATCTTAACATTGTATAATAATAGATTATTCTATTTCCAGTTTTCCAACTATTTTTCTTTGTTTCTTTCAACAGGCCAATTTATACCTACAAGAAATTAATAAGTTGAAGACAGAACTTGAGTCAGCTCAGAACGAAGTGTGCGCCCTGAAGGATGTTTCATTAAATGCCCCTGAGCCATCACATCTTAATGAGGTCTTCATTACCTTCCTTTTGACTTTTACCAGTCTTTAGTCTGCCTTTCCCACACTGCAGAAACTTACCTAGCTTCTCCATGTCAATCTTTTCATGTAGCACAATTTGTCAGCACATAATCAGGCCTGAGTAGGTGGGGGAATCACCAGCCAGCAGGTAGCCATGGAACCACTTGGGGGATTTCCCCATATTACCCTTCCAGGCAAGCATCAGACATCCCAACTTTGAAAAGGTCATTGATACTATGCAATTCTGACATCTAAGAGGTCATGTTTTGACAACAACAACAATTTACTACAATCACTTATCCTCTTAAGGTGGCGACTGACTTGTAACATTTACTCGTAATGTAACATTCGCGGCGAGCATGTTACATTACACCAGAACTGGTGAGGCGCATCGAATGCTCGTTTTGAACGCTCGGCTCGACTGTGCTCATGTGCGCTCCATTCATTTCATTCAATATGTCGGACGTGGAGGTTGTGTTATCTTTGTTTCATTTAAAACGCTACTCTTATCTAAAGAACTCGTGAATGCTCGTTACGACGCCGCTCGACTGACTGACTGACTTGTAATGTAACACTCAAAGGGATTCGCGAAAAAACCGACAACACGATGGAGCGCCCGCGAGCGGCTCACATCGAGCAGCTCCGTTCGCTGTCTTCACTTGTGTAATGCTCGATTTGTAACACGTTACATTACAGGCAAATGTTACTAGTCAGTCGCCACCTTTAGATGTCATTCATTTTAGAACTGTTATGTTGTGCATGTATTTCTTGATTTTTCTTCTTTGTTGTTATTTGTGTTCATATATCCATTCAAATAAAACCAAGCTGCACCTGAGAAAATGTCAACTCAAGATGAAGTTTGCCATTGTGAACAGAGCACTGATATCAATTTGGCTACTAAATCACATGGCTGGAATGAATACAAAAGTATGGTTTTAGTAAGACTGTAGCACTTCTACACTTCAGCCAACACATCAGTTGTTCATATTTTATTAACATGATTCTGCATGATGCATGGAAAACTATGACAGGAATCTCACTCCTAAATTTTCCCCAACACTTTCGAACAAACTTACATTTCACATAAGATATGCAATATTGCACATGTGACAATGATCACCATAGCAGAAAGACTGTGCCATGATATATATCATCCCTGTACAGTTCTGCATAAAGACTTACTCAGAAAAGCACTGTTATTGATCTTAAAGGTTGAAAACCAGCTGAGCAAAGTAAGCAACTTACTGGCAACAAACCTGGAGCTGTCTGCCTCAAATCAACAACAAATGGAACTGGAACTCTCGACTACTAGAGAGAAAATTGCAGAAGTCCAGGCTCAGCTCTTGCTAGCAGAACAGGTATGCTTTCTGTATCTAATTCTGATTAACTGAAAAGTATCACAGCGATACACTGAATACTATATTATGCACACACTTCAAATACAACACGGCCATATTGCAAACCAATGTAGAGAAAGTTTCAAGGGCACAGCAACAAGTAGATGAGTAAGATGAATTTATTCCTCATATTTTATGAGAAATATAAGTCTGCTAAAAAAATTTAATGCACAGCCTTGCTGGCTCCAGACAAGAGTTTGTTGCACACTGAATGATTTTAGGGTGTTTTCTTGAGTAAACAGAAACATCCACAATGTCTCTGATAAGTAATTTCATCTTTCATTATACCACCACATAAATCAGGATCAATGTAGTGATTTTTGTAACACTGATTCATGTAACCTGCAATTTAATCCAATGTGGAGGTGCCTATCATGCTGAAAGAAGATCCTGTGGATTGTCTCCACGACGCAAATGCTTCACGCAGCTGGTATCAAATCAGACAGCAAAAAACAGTCACTGAGAATCAATACTGAAACTCTTTCAGTAAAGGATTATTGGTGGACCACGTGAACATTTTTGCAATTCTTTGTTCTGTCCTGATTCAATTATGCTTCATCAGTAAACAGTAAGAGTTCAGCAATGCAAATCCACTGGAAAAGTTGAACAAGAATA